TCAGTGATAAGACAAGCAGGATCAAATTGCCTTCGGATGTCACGATCAGATAGCATTATCAAAGCGAAGCGCCAATAGTAATGCCAAAAATCTGTTTTTGGACATAGATGCTCTGAATATTTCACGCCCAGTGCCGTCAGTTGCGAATAATGATAGAACGCTTTTCCTGTCAGATTTGAAAATAGCGAAATAAATAAGCAAAGCCAGAAACCCTTTCAATTCGATAAGGCCAGTCTGTCTAAAGGCAAAATCTTTTGGGTATTTCGTTTGAAATTCAGCAAGTTTTTTATTTGTATGAATCAAAACGATGTTTAGCATTCTTTGATCAAATATTAGCTGGAACGCATCAATTGGAAAAAGAGGTCCTTCAGCTGTAGGCCTTAATCTAGGAATTTGAACCACATTATGTGCTGCAGTACGTACATTTCGGGCTGGAGGTAATCGTGACCACTTGTACCGATTCTTCCCGTAGTAGTAGTTTTGATTTTGCGCGGGTATCGATTGGTCGTCATCACTTTCGTCAGATAAATTTTCTTGAGCTGGCGAACTAGAGCCCCCGGGTTACTAATACCCGAATACCCGAAAATGCTATAGCCAACTCAACACAAAACAGACAGACTGACAATACGACACCATCAATTTTACTAGAATAACCTTCACCGTACCACATTCACCACATACCTTCACCGTCATCCTTAACAAGGCATAATTTACCATATCCAAGTAGATCTACACCAACTTTAGATGTTACGCAGGAGGTGAATTCCTTTTTACCTGCGTCCACTAAGGCTGGTAAAGCAAGAGTACGCATGACATAGTCAAAAGATGTCAACATGTTTATTATGCGTACATATTATACTATAGCAAAATTAGAGAGAGATGTGACTTGTTACAGGAAAATCCTGCATGAATCTTTTACTAAACAATACCCGGGAGTAAATGTTACGGAGCAAAGAATCTCAGATCAGAGACGAATGATAATTAAAAAGAAATATCTCTCTGAAGAAGAATTGGAACAATAAAAAAATGAAATCAGGCATGAAATTGAGAAATCAAATACCGTTAATAATGACAGCCACAATATTCTTCCTTGTTCTAACTCAACAGACTCAGAAGCTCTTGCAACAAATGATTTACCTGAACATCATTCATGCGATCAAAACTCTTATTCATTCACTACAGAGCCGACAACACTCACCACCCATTGTTTCACACAAACATCAACTACACCTACGCAAGTAGATATGGTATACGATATAATTTTAGAAACAGATCTTACAACATTGGAACAAGAAACTATAGAAGAAGAAGTAATTAAAAAACTACATGAAGAATTAAAAACAACAATATTTAAATACTCAGGTATTTACAAGACTACATGCAGACCAAAATTACCTAAATTAAAATACAGTAAAAAGCTTACAAAGCTACATAATAGATATTTTTAACAATAATATACTGAACCGATTTATCACAGACAATGCACTTTTAAGTGACATTCATACCCTCGTATATTGTAGCAATGGTTATAACAAAAGAATTAGGTTTAAAATTTTTAGATGAAAATAAAATGTTAAATCACAAGCGTAACCCAGAAACAGCATGGCAAATAAGATTACAAAAAGGAATAAACCAACTCCGATCAGATATAGGTAGACTTACTCAATATATTAAGGGCAATAGGTCCAAAAAAGTAACTACAACAGCAGAAAAAGTCTTTCTAAATTATCAAACACATACAACTCATGAAAACACAAACAAATCACCTGAAGAATACCTTGACGCACTCAAACAGAAATTAGCACATAAAGCACAAAGACTTAGAAGATATTCAAAGGCTAATTAAAGAAAACAAGAAAATAAACTTTTTACAACAAACGAAAAATTGTTCTATAGACAATTAAAACAGGATAAAAATATTAAAAAAAGAATCGAGGACCGCATTGCAAAAGTTAGGGTCCTTATCGGCAGACTGACAAGCTTCACGTCGGGTAATAATAGACCGAGAGTTGTGCGCACCGTTAGAATGGCGTTTGCTGGGACAAATATTAGTTTGTCCCAGCCTGATATCACGCAGAAACTAACGGAGCGCATAGATGACCTGAAGCAAAAAATCGCTGCTTGGGAGAAGCGGATTCGACGATTTAGCGAGAGATCACGATACCACAGACCCGAGCAAATACCGCCCAATCACGTGTCTACCCACCATATATAAGACACTGACATCCATTTTGAGGGCGAGAATCACTCGTCACCTGGAGCTAAATCAGGTGATGTCGCGCGTTCAAAATGGATGTCGGGGCGTCGGTTTTGGAACTAAGGAACCCCTCCTCATTGACGCGGTCATTGGCAAAGGGGTAAAACGCAACCGTCGGAAATTCTCCGCCGTCTGGATAGACTACAGAAAGGCATTCGACTCGGTGCCCCATACATGGCTAAAGAGAGTCCTCCAGCTGTACAAGATTGACTGTACAGTTGGAGACTTCCTCGAGCAGTGTATGGGGCAATGGGGTACGATCCTTTGCTATCTGGGCGAGCGGATGATGGCTGCGGAGAAACACATAAGGATAAGAAGCGGTATCTTCCAGAGCGATTGTCTGAGTCCAATCTGGTTTTGCCTATCTCTGAAACCTCTCAGTACTTTACTAGAGCGCTCCGGGAGGGGATTTCAGCTTCGGAAAGGAGGTACAAAAGTGACCCACCTTTTCTATATGGATAACCTCAAGTTATTCGCCTCCAGTCGCTCCTATCTTATGGAATTGCTAAACATCACTTATGAATTTAGCAATTCTATTGGAATGGAGCTGGGAACGGATAAGTGTGCGGTCATCCATGTTGAAAGGGGAAGGGTTGCCAACTCTGAGGGCATAGACTTATCTATGCCCGTCAACTTAAGGACCCTTTCCGAGGCTGATACATACCGATACCTGGGTATGTCACAGAACATCGGTATCGATGAGGCTGGTATGAAAGTCAGTTTGCGAGGTGTTTTATGCACGCTTGACCAAAGTGCTTAACAGCCTTTTGTTCGGTGTGAATAAGACACACGCATATAAAGGGTGGGTCATGCCTGTCCTCATGTATACCTTTGGCATACTCAGGTGGACTCAGACTGAACTTAACGCCCTGGATAGAAAAGTCTGCACTACCATGACGTCCCATAGGATGCATCATCCGAGATCGTCGGTAATGAGGCTGTACTTGCCGCGAAAGCATGGTGATTGCTTCCTGACGAGATCGGATGATCCATTCTATAATGACGTTATTTCTAGTGATAAAGGGCTTACCCCTCTATAATTAGCAAACGAGCAATGGCAGGACACAGCAGTGCTTAGCATTTTCGACCGGGAGACCGTATGGAAGGAGCTCCACGGGAGGTACTACAGGGCTCTACATGAGCCCTTTGTAGATACAGTCGCCTCCCTTCAACTGGCTACATTTCGGTGACCTCTTTGGGGAAACAGAGGGTTTTGTCTGTGCGATACAGGATCAAGTTATTAAGACCAACAACTATCGGAGATCCATCCTAAAGGATGGCACTGTTGACGTCTGTCGAGCTTGTCGCCATCCCGGAGAGTCACTTAGGCATGTCATCTCTGGTTGTTCGGCGCTCTGAGTACTCGCACAGACACAACGTAGTAGCCAGAATTCTACAACAGGAGTTCGCTCTGAAATACGATCTCGTGGACCGTAAATTGCCGTATTATAAGTACTTGCCGGAAGTCGTGCTCCAGACAATACTGGGACCGGGCCATCATCACAGACAGGAATAATCTTGCGAATAAGCCTGATATTATGCTGGTGGACCGGGCACAGTCAAGGATATTTTTGGTCGACATTACCATTCTGTATGACGAGAACCTCGTGAAAGCCGAAACAGATAAGCGAACAAAATATCTGGAACTGGCTCACGAGGTGACCGACATGTGGGGTGGGCTGTCGACTGAAATTATACCTGTAGTCGTTTCTGCAAACGGGCTAACCCCAGTTAGCCTCTCGGGTCATCTAAGGCGACTGGGACTCCGTGACGGACTTCTCCGGGCTAAAATGCAGAAGGTGGTGCTTCTCTATACCGCCCGCATTGTCCGCCGGTTTCTTTCCCTTTCCTCTAACCCTCGGTCGTTTGGTTTCCCCTGCCGAGGGCTTCCATCTAGTTGGGCTTTTATTTATGGATGTATTTTTTATCTATTTGTATTATATATTGTTATTTATGTATATTTATCGTTTTGTTCGTAATTATATATTTATGGAACCCAGCCAGATGAGAAAACTAAATAGATACCCCATAATAATAATAATAACTCATATAATTCATGACGGCGTAGGGAAGTGACGACCTCATCGCCCGCTGACGAAACAGTTAAGTGACAAAACTGCTACGTCGGTGCAGTCAGTCAGCGCCAAGAGGTGTGAGCGCCGTGCCTCGGCAGTACTCAGGGTGCAAAGGCCCGTTTGTGCTTACGGATGTACAATGAGACAATAAAACGGTGCCGGACCTGGGCGCCTCCCGTTAATTGGCACCTAAAAATAGATGATGGCTTGTAATAGAAAGCGTATAGGGCCGCTGCCTGGGGGTCGCCGGGGCGCGTCTGGAACGGGCGCTGGACGCGACAGCATGCGCTAGCCGAGCGCGAGGAGCTGCAAGAGCACCAAGCAGCCTCCCGCATTCATCATCCCCACCAGACGGCTTGATGTCGGCAGGGTCCTCTCGGACTCGGCAAGCGGCATCCGCCGCTGGTGGAGTGCGCCGCATGCGTTGGACACGAGATATGAACGCAAACGCATTGAGGGCGTACAATAGGACGAAAGGGGAAGAAACTGCAGCGATAGCGTATCGGTCTCGGATGCATTGCTTATTTGCTGACCTGGAGCCGTCTATTCCCGTCATGGAACAAAACCTGGCAGACCGAGTTCGGTACATCATCCGCTAGAAAATATTTGATGATGCCGAGCTCGAACGACTACGACGTGAGGCCATTCCCTCATCGAATGAATTGGCTATGGCTGGGGATGCGGCTCCTCAGGCGACAGACCAGCTGCCATGCGTAGAAGCCGCCATGGATCTTCCAGTTGTGGTTGATTCGGACGATGATGAAATGTTCTCCCACGAACTAGAACAAGTGAGGAGTATATTGGAAGAAGCGATTTTGGAAACGCTCAGCATGCCTCTCAAAAATCGATCACGACTTCCCCGCAAACCCCTAAGTTTTGCGCAAGCTAAATCGGGCTGTAGTGAGGGCTCTTAACCCAATGCTGGTAACCTATTTGGAAGCCACCCGGACCTTTGCGAGACGGACTCAATTGTGTTTGGCGCCGCACTGGCAGTTTGCCGTATTATTGGCGCCAAAATTTCCATGGCTGGACGCGCTACTAAACAAAGTAGCGCCATCCCTGCCTGGAGAAAAAGAATTGAAGACCGTATCTCAAAGGCAAGGACCCTTATTTGCAGACTGACAAGCTTCAGGTCGGGTAATAATAGACCGAGGGTTGTGCGCACCGTTAGAATGGCGTTTGCTGGGACAAATATCAGTTTGTCCCAGCCGGATGTCACGCAGAAACTAACGGAGCACATAGACGACCTGAAGCAAAAGATCGCTGCTTGGGGGAAGCGGATCCGGCGATTTACCGAGAGATCAAGGAGGTTCAACCAGAATCGTCTCTTCCAGAGTGATCAGAAGAGGCTCTATAAATCATTGGAGCGACCAGAGGTATGTGGAGCGGGCCCAGGACCGGATCAGGCTAACACTGTCGCATTTTGGCGTGGCCTGTGGTCAGAGCCCGTAAACCACAGCGAGGGCCCTTGGATTAAATCAGGTGATGTCACGCGCTCAAAATGTATGTCGGGGCGGTGGTTGTGGAACCAAGGAACCACTCCTCATTGACGCGGTCATTGGCAAAGTGGTGAAACGCAACCGTCGGAACTTCTCCGCCGCCTGCATAGACTACAGAAAGGCATTCAACTCGGTACTCCATACATGGCTAAAGAGAGTCCTCCAGCTGTACAAGATTGACTGTACAGTTGGAGAATTCCTCGAGCAGTGTATGGGGCAGTGGAGTACGATCCTTTGCTATCGGGGCGAGCGGATGATAGCTGCGGAGAACCACATAAGGATAAGAAGGGGTATCTTCCAGGGCGATTGTCTGAGTCCAATCTGGTTTTGCCTCTCTCTGAATTCTCTCAGTACTTTACTAGAGGGCTCCGGGAGGGGATTTCAGCTTTTTTTTCTTTATATGTTCTTTATTATTATTATTATATGATCGAAATGTTTATCTTTACGAGTAGTAATATCCACATTCCATTAGTGTACTAAACGTTCAAATTTATATTCGTATGGCAATTTATCTTTAGTTAAATTAGGTAACGGTAAATCGCTTAATTACTCGATAAACGGTCCCACTAATACATCACTTAGATGCATGTTGCTTCGCTAGACAAGGAAGTTAATTTCCCAAAGACGAATTGCTGGTGGTTCGGGTCAAAGTAATTAAAAGCAATAGCAAAATATCAATGCGTTCTGTGTTATCATCATCATTACCGTTACCGTTACAGCTTATCAAACATCCACTGATGAACGTTGGCGTTCACCATAGATTGCCTCATATTTATTTGGCATAGCTACAACGCTTGGCTTTATAAAATTATAAAATTCTTCTTAATTTTATACGTTTATACGTGGAAGAGACATGCTGCAGTTATATTGGTAGAGTATAGTTTTAGCACGAATGAGTCGGCTCAACCGAGGAAGGACCACGCTTTCAGAGAATACCAGTGTAAAATAGTAGCTTAATGCTGCTGTGTTTCGTATGGTGAGTGTAGAGAACCGGAGACCCTTTTTACTGGAAACGAGGCATTCCATTTTAGTCCTCACTGGTGACAACGCATCTGCATTTTGATTTGTAATCAAGGATAGATGTAGATGTCTATGGGTTACAGCAACCATTTACCATCAGATGGATTGTGTGCTCGTCTGTCGCACCATCATATAAAAAAATTACGCAGGAATGCAGGAGATATTAATAAATAATTATGAAATTTCACAACCATGTGTGAAATTCTAATATTAGATGAGTGAATGATAGAGGTGATTGGGGAGCTCGCAATTCTAACGACACCCATGTAACATCTCAGGGAGGAAGGAGTGCCTGAAAACTAGCGCTTCACGGGAGTTCCATGTAAGCAAAAGCTGAGTCACCTCCTATTGCCTAAATTTAATTAAGATTAAGTATTTAGTTTATATGTTAACATGTTTTTCAAATGTCGCAATAAAGTTATATATTTTTTTTATAAAACCTGTGTCTAGTTGTGGGATATGTGTGTGGGTTCTTTACTGGTACTTTTTAACTCCACTTACCCACATGTAAAGGAAATGAAAGTCAGTCCATGGGGGAATAAGAGTCTAAATTATGAAACAAAGAAAATTAAAAAAAAATATTTTAACAAACACATAAGAATTAACAAAATTTAAATTTAAATACGATTATCCATTTAGTGCAAAAATCACAGCAATAGCGATTTGGATCACCACATTCTGTACTTGTCTCATAGGCCTATTAAGCACAGTTAGAGAGAGTTTTAAATTTAACAATATATTTGAAATATATTGCATTATTTTAACAGTTCCAATATAACAGTATTTAAAACAAGATGTAAAATATAATGTCAAGTGGAAACCAGTATATTGATGCGGCCCTTACACATAAGATCAGACCTTATAAAACAACTTGTGAAACTCTCTATCAAATTTATTTCCCAAAGTTTAACATTCAGAAGTCGGACCCAAAACTCGTGTCGATTATAATCGACGCGTCTGGTACTTTTAGGTATGTTCACCTATTTCTTGGAAATGGATAAACCGATTTAAATTCTATTTTTTTATTAAATAGGTTAAACTTATTAGAGGCGGTTCTATCTAAATTTACGAAAAAAACCTATGGTTAGAAAATTAGGGGATGAAGATTTTAATGTAACGATTTAGACGGAACTGTAGTTGTTACCTCCTGAAGACGTTTTGTACTTTTTGTTAAAAGCTAAATTATTAACACCAACGTCTTTATGTATTTCCAACATATTACCGATTCAATAAAGCACCTATTTCTATTGATATTTTAAAGAAATAACTAATAAATAAATCCTTATCTTTTTTCAATAGTGTAAGAAGGACAACAAACAAGCACATATTCCATCTGATGATAAGTGGGTGCTGTGGCACATAGACATCTACATATATCATCGATTAAGAATCAAAATGCAGATGCATTGTCATCCCTGAGGACAAAGATGGAATAACCCGTTTTTAGTAAAAAGGATCGCCGGTTGTCTACACTCACCATACGAAACATAGCAGCATTAAGCTCCTATTTTACACTGATAATCTGTGAGAGTGTGGTCCTTCCTCGGTCAAGCCGACCCATTCGTGCTTCGACCATAATATAGCTGCAGTGTGGCTCGACATCGTATATTTAATCAATTTATAGGCAAGTCGAGCAAAAAAAAGCGGCACGGCCGTACCATCCTTTTCATGAAGCAATTCAGGCCATTTTCGACGTCCTATAACTTCGTTACGGATAAAACTAAAATTTTCAGTAATCAAGCAGGCGTTGTATGGACACGGTATATTTCAAATTTCATTAAATTTGAACCAGTTGTTTAAGAATTATAAGTAGTCAAAAATTTTCATTTTTGTCACTCAGTGACTGATCATCAAAACTCTAATGCACTTTTAGCAGACATAGAAGCTTCAAATTTAGAGTACAATTAGTGTTTGATGTATAAATCAAGGAAAAACTAAAATATATTGCAATTTCGGTCCAGTTTTCTAGATAAACCAACTGCATAAATAACTTTGTAATCCTATATAAATATCGCACAATCGGCAATCGCACTAAACAATCTAAATTTTATATAATATGTATTACTTGTGAGATACATTGTGTTTTCATGCGATGGCCAAGTCAATCTATTTATTTAAAAGATAAAAGATTTTTAATATTGATATGGTCACGATAAGATTTTGTTGGGTTAGCTAAGTACGTAATAACTTAAGACAGAAGGACCCTTAAGTAGGGACTGAATGTATTAACCGACTTGGTATTACATGGATCTCACAACTTTTTACCGTAGAAGAACTGAGTTGGGGAACTTGGTTTTTTACAAGTTATGTTTTTGATGGCATTTACTATTTATTTTAACACGAAGCTAATTTCCAACTAAACTTTTTATTGTAAATCAGTTTTGCCTACCGCTGAATTGAAAGCTCCACGTAATGCATAAACTATACATCACCCCAATCTAAGACAACATCTAATCCCTTACGAAAATAATAGTATCTCAAACTTATCCAACAAACAAACAAATCGACGACATCACGCTTCCTCGATACAGAATCCAATTAAGCAAGCACAATATTTGCCGACCGTACATAATACCCGCCCGCGTATAATATAGCCTCTGTCATTAAACATTCAATTAAGTAAAACGCATCGCCTGTTTGCCATACACTCCGCGCGGTGGCGATATTTGCCCACATTCAAATGCTGATGTGGCGGGGATCGCTCATATTAAGCTATGCGGTAATTTAGAATTTCGCATAGTTATTTTCATTTGTGGTTTCGATATCTTCTATAATATTTATGAGCGTCTGTGTTATATATTTTGAGCGCCAAACTACCGAGTCGAATGTTCTAAAATTAAATTCATTTATAGATTTCTTCTTTAATATTCTCACTTCTTTTTATTTAAATATCATTACATACCACATTCACTGTTCTTACCATCTTTATGCTGATGACTTACAAATTTATTTATCAAATAAATGTGTCAGGTATCGATGACGTGAAAAGAAGCTTTACTGTGATCTCAACTGTATTTATTATTGGTCAGACAGGTTTGGTATTGGAGTTAATCCATCAAAATATCAGGCTCTTGTTGTTGCTAGTTTTCGTAGATTGCCTAAAATAAATATGAAGGCACTACCTCCTATAACATTTAATAATGTTCTGTATCTCACTCAACAACTGTTAAAGATCTTGGTTTAATTATAGACAAAACCTTCAGTAGGCGACCGCATATATGTGTGAGCAAAAAGGCCACTAACACTGTGTTATTTGTAACGTCTCAAGAATTTTTTACCGAAAGAGACTAAGGCAATGCTAATAAAGACTCTAGTGGTGCCTATTTTAGATTAAGCAGACGTTTGCTATGCTGATCCCTCGCAAGAACTAAATAAACCGGATCGACTTCTTAGTA